AATTTTCTTCTTACTTTTTTCTTCTTTAAATTTTTTACTTTTTTCTCAGCTGGGTTTCCTCCTTTCTTGACCCACCTTCTCTTGCTTGTTTCGATAAAGATCGGCTTCTCGCTTGCGATTTGATTCTTTCTTTCTCCTCGCAAAGCTGAACTTGGGTTGATTTGATTTCACCGATCCTATTTTCCCTTTTCTTCATTTTGACTGTAACTGGAGTGGTTATTATCTCAGTCAAGAGAAAACCGAGGAATCTGATCTTGGATTTTCGGCTGGATTTCATTTCTGGGTTGGGTGGCTTACTATTGTAGGGAGACTCAGCAGATTCGGGGTGGCTTCCTGCCTTCCTTCTTCCTGTAGCTAATCTGCAGTCTTCTTCCTTGTTGAAGCCTTTTATTTTGCGGGTTGAGCTTGGCTTCTCTCTTGTCTTCTACCCATTTGTTCAGTTTTCTCCTCCTTTCTAGTAAGATTTCTTGTTGAGCTCTGAGATTTTCTATTTATAGAAATCTCTTGCTACATATAATTTTCTTCATCATTATCCTATGATTCTTTGGTCTACAAGATTTGATCTCTTGAGCCGTGGTAGTGGATGATGTGGTGGCAGCTTCTTTGTTCGCATAATCTCAATTTCGAGTTCCTTTCTTTTTCTCGGATTACCCACATAAAATAACATTCCACGAACTCTTTAGGGACTAAATCAACGTCTTTGCTTGTGGATTTTTTCTTCTGGAGTTTATATCTTGTGCTTTGCTTCAGTTTTACTCACATAAAATAACGTTCTAGAGGGGTCTAGAACTGGAAACTCAGAGTCTCCGTTGCTTTAAATTTCTGGGTCTCTGTCGATCTCACCTTTCTCTTGCGTGTGTCTTGCAGGCTGATGGACGAAGATACGTCTGGGGTTGCTTGATCTTATTTCTGCTTCTGCATCTTCTTGGCTTTGGTGCTTGCTGAAGGTGTGTGCTTTGTGTGAGGGCTAGTGTTATGCTGAAGATTAAGAAGAAGGTTATAAAGAAAAAGGGAAGAAAAAGAGCTTGTGACTGTTGCATAAACAGCACAAGAAGAGAGAAGCTTATCATCAGATGTTATCCATTGAAAACCCTCAACCAGATCCGCCATGTCCTTGCCTATTGCCACACCTGAAAAATGGTAGTGATCATGATCAGAGGGCTTCTCATAAGCTTCCTTTGCCTGACCTAGATCCATCCCTTGATCATCCTCATCCTCATCGTCACTATCGTAACCAACCCGCAGGTTTCTCTATCAGGTAAAAATTTCTCTTCTTTCCCCTTCGTGAGTCGGAAAGGCACAGTGATATATATTCACAGTTTTCAACTCTTTCTCTCTCTCTCTCTCTTGTTATCACTCTCGCTTTAAATTTCTTTCCTTCTTTTTACTGTGATGTTTGATTTTTGTCATGGCCAGCAGCTTACTGCTTCTGTGGTTTGATCTCATCTCTGGAGCTTATTTTAGAGGGGTCAGATCCAGATTTAGATGTTGCTTGTGGCTCAGCTTAAACATGGGGCCTAACTCATGACAAAACCGACCTCCATCTTGTCCCTATTTTGGTCTTCGAGGACTGAAGGAAGGCCTTTTTTCCTTCATGAAAACTCATTCGGGACTACTATGTCTTATACCACCACTCCCCGTACTAAACGTTTTTGGTCAAAATTTACTTGATTAATTCTTTGATTTATGATTTCATGTTTACTTTTTACTCTTCCAAGTCCTAAGTCCTTGTGTCAAGATGAAGAAAACCCTCTGTTATTATGAAGTTTTTCTTGAGGAATTCTTGACTCACCACATGACTTTCCCAGGTTTACTAGATCAAGGAATCTTTCTGGGTTATTTCTATTTTGAGTTCAAGGTCCATGTGTTCACTTTTCATGGCTTGAACATACAATTGGATTTTCCTGAGAAATTCTCAGACGTGACTTGTAATCTATGTTTTGGGCTTGTCACTGACTTTCTTTATTGTGGTGGGTACTGCAGAGATTATGTATTTACTGCCCGGAGCAAGGACATCAAGAAGAACTGGCCATTTTCTCTGAAAAACTTGCAGCTTTGCTTGAACCATGGCGTAAAGGATCCGTTGCCACCATTTCAGCCACTTGACACTATAAGAAGCCAAGCTTTTCAGACATGTACGGTTGAAAGTAGTGAACACCAGACAGAAACCATAGCCAATGTTAATGGGGACCCTTGTGATGATCAAAAGCTAGAAAATGGTGTTCAATCAAACCATAACGCTGCTAGTTCATGCAGATCCGGGAATGATTTCCCATCCACCACATCAAGTGTTTCTCAGTCTGAGATAGAGTCAGTTCCAGCTAGAAGGCCACCATCTAGTTCGCCAGTAGAAGCTGATCCCTTGTTAGAAACTTCAGCTGCTCGGCTTCCTCCGTCCAGAAAGGCCGATACTGCCTCCAGGCTGCCGAGTAAGAAGTGCAGGTTGATAGTAAAATTTGGTCCAAATTCTGATCGTAGCTCCACAGAAGATATTGCTTCCAATTGTACAACAATCTCAGAAACAATGGCTTCAAAAACTTGCCCTGTTTGCAAGACATTCTCCTCCACTTCCAACACCACCTTGAATGCTCACATTGACCAGTGCTTCCGCAGAATCAACACCCAAATGGAAAGCGGATTCTAAGCTAACTAGGCCTAGAATTAAGGGAAGGAAGATCAAACCTATGACTGATATATATGCTACAGCGCAGCCATGCACTTTAGAAGAGCTTGACAGAAGAAATGGTACAAGCTGGGCTGTGGTTTCAACCCTGCCTGCTCGTGACATTAACGACTTTGCGTCACAGCCAATATCTGATGAACCGAGAAATCAAAAAGTTGATAATGCCGGTGAAGTTGGTCCTGTTTATATTGATGCCAATGGAACCAAGCTTCGTATCTTATCTAAATTGGGTACTGAGTCACAGCCGGTGTTAAAAGTGACTGGCAAGGATCTTGGACCAAAGAAACCTTTCAAAGGAGGTAAAGGGAGCCAACTCCTTGCGACCAAAAAGAAAAGACGCCATGGAAAGAAGCATCTCAAGTATCTAAAACTTGCTTCTCAAAGCAGGAAATATTTGTCTTATAAAACCCAACATGCTTCTCAGGTACACCTCTCCTTTGCTTTTCATTTTCACGTCTACCATGTTTTCATATGTTTCTTCTTTGAATGATTTTACTCCTCCATCCCAAAGAGATTCTGGCCCATATTTACAAGCTGATTTGTGCTTTGTTTTATACTTCTATTTCCTTGCAAGTTGAAACTGTGATGATCTTACTGTAGTTATAGGCTTAGAGCAAACCAAATGTTAATTTATTACTTGTTGAAACTTGGGTATCAGCTATGGTTCTATTGGCAATTTTTACTAGCTTCACTTTAATCATGGCTATCTATGTTTAATGTCATTGAATGAAAGTCGAATGATCTTAAACTTAAAAGAAGAAGTTGTTTTTAACTACACAGTTCATAATATGAATACAAATATCCATCATGCACCTTTAGTCGCAAGTTATAAATTTTATTGATATAGAATTCAGGAACTTATATGTTATTAGTTTTGTTTTAAACAGATTCCTGAGGGTCAAGAAGAAAGCTTCAAGAAGGAGGAACTTCCGAGACCAAAGGAAATTAAAGTGGGAGAACCTGGAACTTTAGGACAGTGGGCATGTTCCAAACGAACTGGTCTTGTGAAGAAGCTCAATAAGCAAGGGTGTAAATGGCAGCATGCAACTCAGAACCTGCAAGTTGAAAATGATCAGTCATGCTTACATGATTCAGTTATAACAAGAAATCAAGTTCAAAAGCTTACAAAATTGCCAATAAGTTCGCCGTCATCTTCTGAAAATATTCACAGGGCTGAGAAGCCATATTATGATGCCCGAATCTGCAACAAGAAAGAGCTTTCTTCTGAGAAAAAGAGAGCAGGAAGTCCCTTGTTTGGAGCCATGGCAGTTGACAACATTGAAAGGTCTCTTCCACCAGCGATGCGAAACACCAATCAACTGAGCAAAGACAGCTGTTATGTGCTTGATAATCGCATAAGAAAAGCTCCAGAATCAACCAAGCACAATGCATCTTCCCTCAGTAAAAGGAAATTTCCCATTGATGCAGTTAATTGTTCTGGTATCCCTCCAGTTGCTAGTGTAGAGCCATCTACAACTACTCGTCCACTCATATCAAAATTCTTGAGAGTTCCACAATCAAGGAAAAATGGGTCTTCTGCCAAGGGGTCATCTGTGGTTGAATCCAGATCTAGTGTAGATAAGGAGCATTCATCCTTGAGGAACTTTCAATTACATTTCATGGCAGAAGTAGATGAAGAGGTAGCGCCTTGGCAATCTGCAACAGATCATACTGAAAATCACGGTGAAGGAGAAGAGAGCACCAATGAAACCTCTTTCAATAGAGGTAATATGACAGGAGTCAGACAACAACCACAAGATAAAGAACCAATGAGAATTTCCCTGGAGGAAAATGTACCTTTGAAGAGCTCACAGTTGGCATTGCTATATTATGGTGAGCAAGTAGGCCGAAACTCAAATTCTTAAGATAGAGATGAGGAAAATAATATTCAAGAGAAAGTTGCCAGCCCAGAATCTGTCGGGGGAACAGTCATTCATCTGTATAAACATGTAGATGTTAAGTTCCACAAAGTAAGTGATTATTTCAAGACTGGGTCTAGTGTTCCACATTATTTGGAAGAAAACAATGGTGGGCACTTGTCTGGTGATGAACCACTTAGGGGTCCGAAGGAGACAAGTTTTGCTGGTGAACAGAAATATTGTAGTGATGAAGCTGGCAATGGGAGAACTGTGCAGACCGCCCATAAAAA